CCGCTCCTTGGAGGGGGCAGCTGCAGAGCCAGCTGTCGTTTGGTGTGAATCATCCGGCCGGGGATGCTGGAAATAGACCGACGTGGGGTAATCCAATACCTGGCAGCCTTTTGATTTTTACTGCAGGCCCTCTCCCTCGTTCAGATAATTAAGGGGAATAATTAGTGAATAAAGAGAGGCAGAGTGCAAACAGTTGTTATGTGAAGTGCCTCGATGGTGCTTTTTTATGTGCAAAACCTTTAAATCAAGATTTATAAGACGTAAAGATCTTGCTTTTGTTAAACTTGCACTGACTTGGGCTCTTTTACCTTTTTAATTTTGAATGTTAAGTATTCTGAATCTCAGGAATGTAAAGCTCACACAGACACTGTCCAGTGAGAAAACAGGATGGTGGTGCAGTTGTGGTTCATGCTCTTGGCAAGAGTAAGCAGCTCAGTGCAGGTCCCTGCAAAGAGCAAAGATGATAACTAAAACCTGAGGACAGGGTTTGGAACATGAGATGTTGGTGTCAGCTACGGACAACTGCGTAGGAGACACAAAGTCTGGAGAAGTCCTGCTAACATCCACTGCACAGGCCACAGAACACTCCCCACTCCCTTCAGCAACCCTCTGTGCACCAGATCAGAAATGCACTGTGGCAGGGCTTCTCTGGAGCAAGCAGGAGAGGTGGAGAGCACTGCTGGGGTCCCAAGTCCCTGCACCAGCTCCTGCTTTGCTAGGTGGAAGTACCCAGGGGAAGGGAAGAATGAACTGTGCTGGGCTCCTTTTGCTGCGAGACCTGGCAGAAATCCACCCCACTGACTGTTCCTGTGTTTGCAGCCCTCTGGGCAGAGGCAGGAGAGCCTTTGGAGCAGGGCAAAGGGTTGGAGGGGAAACGTTTCCAGGCAATTTGGCTGCCATTTTACAGCCTGAGAGCTGGTCAAATGTTAAAAGTGTTGTTCTGGATTTTAGTGTTTAGTCATTGAGTATTTGTGGGTGGTCTTTTAGGATGTGCAAAGCCACAACTTTGGGGTGCAGGTTGCTAAGAAGATGATGGATATGTTTGGCTTTTTGCTTGTGAAAGAACAGGTTCATGGCTTTTTCTCCATGTACTGGCTCCTTGGTGGGTTGGGGTTTTTCTAAAAACTTGGATCCCATTTGGAACAGTTTGTGATGAATAAGTGAGAGTTTAACAGCTAGCTCTGTAATGTGAGAACAGTTCTTGGCCTTTGGACTTTCAAAGGTTGTGCTTATCATGAGTGTAATGTGAGGGAGGATGGGAGAAGGAAGACAAGGAAGCTGCTGTGACACTCCTGCTGCCTCCTTTTCCCCCCTCTGCTCACTCAGGGTGGTGAGCATGGATGCCAGTTCTTTTCACATGGTTCTTCTGCAAATACTCTGCTGGTAGAAATGGCTGTGTTATCAAAGATGGACTTGCTGGGGTAAATTTTGCTTCTTGAGTACTGTGTTCATGCCTGGTGTGGGAGTATCTTCTAAAGCCTTTTCCTTGCAATCTGCAGGTTCTGGAGGATAATGACTACGGCCGTGCAGTGGACTGGTGGGGATTAGGAGTTGTGATGTATGAAATGATGTGTGGACGGCTCCCTTTCTACAATCAGGACCACGAAAAGCTCTTTGAACTCATCCTGATGGAGGAGATCAGATTTCCACGCACATTGTCACCTGAAGCAAAATCCCTCTTGTCAGGCTTGCTGAAGAAAGACCCTAAGCAAAGGTGAGGCTGTGCTTAATAGTTGCACTTTTTAAAGGTATTTGAGACAAAATCGTAATTTAATTTTTAATCTATTCAAATTGGTTATCCAGCAAGATGCAGCAAGTGGATGTGCTCATTTATTTTTGACTTTTTAAATGAGCTGACAGTGTAAATAGTGACACAAAGCAGCTTTGGTGCTGAACTTCAGAGTATGGTGGCTGCCATTAAAGTAAAACTATAGCCTTGGAAAAGCAAGTTAACCCTACCTTTGGCTGCTGTGATGCTCTACACCAAATGTTTTTGCCTTCTGTTGCAGTTGGGGCTGCTGTCTCTTTCCTGAATTTTTGTCTAGATCTGTGCCAGTGGTTTAGCATCCTGCTTTGGACAGTAGGTGGTGGTGTTTGTACCATGTTTGTAGTGGAATTTATACCATGCTCAATTGACTTTTCCTGTTTCCTCCTTTTATTTTTGTTTTTCTTTTATTGCTGTATTTTTTAAAAAGTAACCCTTGATTTAAAAACAGAAAAAAAAAAAAAAAAAACATAAAAAAAGCCCCTAATGGCTAACAAACAAAAAATGGAACAAGATCCAAAAAGGATGTTGACCTTCACAGAGATAAACATCAGTTTAAAAACCTGCCATCTTGTCAACCCAGACATTTTTAAAACAAATAATATTGTGACTCTGCCCCTGATCTCCTGTCCTGAACCTTCCACTGTTAATAATGCCCCACATAGGAAACCTTTCATGTGAGGTGCAAGCAGGGAATTCTGGTTTACTTTCTGGTGTTTGTTTAGTCTCCATGCTTGTGTGTGCACATAGCAGGAAAATGGGATTTGCCACTACCTGGATACTTGTAGAAGGATTTCTGTCATCACTGTGGGCTATTTCCTTCACTGTTTTTTGATGGAAAATCCTATTGGGAGGTCTCATAATGCAAATACACAGTTTTTAATGTTGGAGGATTCATGTTGGTGGTGCTGTGGGGAACGTGGCCAGCCCTGTGCACGGTGGCAACAGCTGCAGCCCCTCCTGAGCCCAGTGCCTGTGAGGGGACCTCCAGGAGGAGGTTGTGTAATTGATGAGCAGCCCCCAGGCTCTGCTCTGCTCTGCAGCCCCTGCCAACAGCATTCCTGTCCAGTAAAGCACTGGGTTAAATGCAATTGTGACCCTTTCATAGCTTACTCAGGTGGGGCCTTTCAATCACTGGGAACACAGGCAGCATCTGCTGCAGTTTGTTCTTAAAGGAGCATCTCTGATGAACCAAAATGCAATTTGTTTACAAACAAAGAATGCCCACTCATTTCTAATTACAAGATTTTCCCAATGCCAATAATTACTCCACAATATGCTCACTTCATACAAATAGCCACTTCTTCACATGGATCTTCTGCAGGCTTGGAAGCAGTGCTGCTCTGATCTGGTGGACAGATGATTTTCATGCTGCTGATAGAAATAACTGTTGACTAGACAAGCCTGCACACATGCCTTATTGTAATTATGCCTAATTACACTGGTGCTTCCCAAGCTTTTTTGGATCTTGGACTGTTCTTAAGTACTGGTTTTCCCCCAGTCACTGTTCCCATAACTTTTTACCTGAAGTTTTAGTTCAGCAAATCCAGTGCACTTTGTGACATTTCAGGCAGCATGGAGAACTGATCTGGAAGCACTGGAGGTAGAAGTCCTGCATCCTGCCCTTGTAGTGTTATGTTCTTTTTTCTGGGTGGTCTGGGTGCTGGGGAGGATGCCTGGCATAATTGGTAGTTGACTCACAGTGTGCTCATGGAGCCATATGGACAAAAAACAGCCAGAGAGCTACTGAAATACATTCACTGAAAAGTTATGTAATGTGTGATAGTCTGTGCTTTGGGGAGCCACTGTGTAATTCAGCAGAAATGCCCTCTGGTGCCAGTGGTGGACAGAAGTTGGTGTCACTGTAATGTTTGTGGCAGAAAGCGTCAGAATTGGCAGCATAGCTTTGGGTGAACTTCAGAGTGAGATGGAGGAGGCAGCCAAAACCATGGGAAAAAGGAAACTGAGAGATGTTGTCACTTCCCCTGAAATCATCAAAAAAACCTGACCAACCCAACAATAAAGGTTGATACAATGAAGCTTAGTGCCAAGGATACTTTAGGTTAAATATCAGGGAGCTAAGTAATTGTGATCTCTGTCAGTGAATTAAATCTTAAAAATGACCTGTTGCACCTGAGCTGGATATACTGAAGCAGTGTTAGCACACTCTGTTCAGTAATACCAGTTCAGTCTCAAACTCCCAGGCATATGGAGAAAATGTGAAGAACAATAAATTGCATTCTGCTTTTAATCATGGCTGTTTTCTAAATTTGGTCATATGAAATCCATTTTGTAAGAGAAAAGGAATTTTGAATTTTCTTTTGGGATTGATAGAAGTTTATTAATCTTGTAATGTGAGCCCTAATTTTCCTAAGAAGGAAAAAATCTATTCTGTAAATATTTCCTGTTAATGTGACCTGAAATTCCCCTTTGCTGCTTTGTGACATGGATCAAGTGAAAGAAGGTAATCAGAGCATATTTTCATACATGAAACAACAAATTTTTTACCTTTTATTGTTCTTCCTGTGGCTGTGGAGACTGCAACCTGTGAAAGTGGGCATGGCTCAGAGCACCCTCTGTAAGCAGGCTAAGTTTAGATGGGTGGGTAGGTTTACAATCAGTGTCTTGCAAGCTCTGAATCTTGGCAGGTTTTTAACTTGAGAGAACTTGAGGGTGGTTTAATCTGAAGTGCCTTAGTTCCTTGTCGTGGGCCAGGGTTGTTCAGCCTCTCTCAGATGGGGTTTGTCACAGGCTGCTTCACCTGCCTCTGGTGCTGTTGGACCTTTCCATTCAGCGGCAATGAGAGGAAGATGATGCAGCATTTCAAAAACACCTGTTCAAAACATCGGATGCTTTCAAAGAGTTGTAGTTGTGGCTTTGGAGAGCTGAAGCTGCTCCCTGGGACCTGGTGGTCAATTCTTGCAGTCACCTGGAGATCTGGTACTTCATTCTTCCCTGGCCATGAGGGTTCTTTCCATATCCAATGAATGTTTGGTCACAGGGAATGTCAGAGTCGATCAAGCCCTTACTTGTATAACTCCTTGGTTTTTTCCCTAGTGAAAGGAGGAGATTTGTAGAGATTTGTGTGTCTGTGTCCTCTCTGCTGCTCTGCCACAGGAAGCTTAGGTGGCTCTTGAGCACCCTTGCTCTCAGGCACAGGGAGGTCTGCAGCCCTCACAGACACTGCTGGTGTTGGAAGAGTTAGAGGTGACACTTGTGGGGACTTCAGAGGCCTGGAGGGACTTCAGCAGAAGGAGGTAACCTTGAGGAGCTGGTCCTCTTGGACAGCACACTTGGGTGCCTTGTGGACATGCAGAGTTTTGGAGCCACACGTGACAGGTGACTTGTGTTTGTTCTGAAATGTGTGTGCCTTGAGTAAGAAAGGGCTTCTGTCTCCAGACAGCTTCAGGGTCTTGTGTATCAGCTGAAGTGCAAAATGCTCGTGTCTTCATGTTTCACCAGGTGCTTTGAGACAGGCTGAGATTTAGCTGTTGTGTAGGATAATTTTAGTCTAAATCAGTTCTGTCCGCAGTGATTTAGACAAACTCAAACAGTTCTCCCACAGAGATCTAAATTGAAGCTGAGAAAAACATAAAAGGCAAGTTTACAGGATTTTTTTCTCCCAGCTTTCCAGAAATTACTATTTTAGAGACTTTCCAAGCTTCACCAACCTCAAACTTGACTCCTCTTGATTACTGATGTGAAGAGCTTTTCAGTGCTTTTTGGATCTACCATGTTTGTGTCACATGCATGTAGTTCATGAAGAATTGGGGAAGTAAAGCTCAGCAAAGAGCTGGGAGTTAGCATTAGGCTTTCCAAAAGTTTTAATCTCTGAGCAGCAAAGCACCCAAAGACTCTGTGTACAGGGCTTTGGGAAGATTGTGGCCTTTTCCTTCCAAATATGGAGTCTTCCAATCATGCTGTTCTCAAAGCCAAAGACAGCTTCTCTGTGCTGATAGTCACTGGAAACTGATGTGGATAGAGCTCCCAAATCCTTCCTGTGGCTGTTAGAGGCCTCTGAAGGTAAGGGCCATAGTAAAATAAACTACGGGTGTCCATCCTGACTGTATCAGAGGAGGAGAAGTAGGAATCTCTGTGCTTGGAGCTGATGAACACCAACAGCCTTTGCTGGGCTGTTGTTCTTGAGCCTGGAGGAGATGTTTGTGCCATGGTAGAATCAGGTTTGGGGGCAGGGCTGACTCAGAGAAATCATGTGAAGACAGGGCTGGAAAACCAGAAGTGTGCAGGTTTCTTTTTAAAGAGCTGGGAATGGACTTGGGAGCTGAGCACTGTTTACAAGTAAGTGGGCAAGTGGAGATACATTATTTTTCGTGTGATTCACTAATTGTAATCTTCCTGTGTGTTTTCAGACTATATTTATATATATATGTGTGTGTTAAAAATACAGTACAGCAAGTTTTAAAATTTATTTTTATATGATGTATCTGTGGAATGATGGCTGGCTGCCCTCAGTTTATGGAGCACAGACGTTTGTCATTAAATGGTTAAAGGGACTTAAAAGCAATATGCAATTTCATAAAAATTTAAAATGTGAAAATCATTTCATTTTAATATTGATGTTGCACTTTATTAATAATTTTCACTTTTGGATTTAACTAAAATAAGAAAGTCTCTCAAGTGTAGATAGAAGTTGAATGAATTACCAGAATTGTTTGGTGGTCAGGTTTTGAGGGGTGTTTTTTCTTGTTTTTCTCTAAATTGATTTTGGCTTCTGTACTTTCTGTTCTATTTCTTTATATACTGTAAATTTCTGTAGCTTTTGCTTTTCAAGTCCTGTATATACTATTTTTGATTCTGTCTGAGGACTTACATGTGCAGAATTTAACTTTATTATCCAGGAACCTCTTCAGAGCTCTTATTTCTGCTGCATTTTACTTTATTTATTGCATGTCCCTATGAAAGATAAACCTGCTGCTCTTTACATTCTCACTGGTGCCTAACCATGATTTTTGTGTTAGTTGCCAATTTAATTGTGTTGTCCTTGAGATGGACCTCTTGTAATAATTCTAGAAAACAAAACTGTATTTTGGAATAAATCCATATCCAAAATACGAGGTTTCTGTTGTTTCACCATTCACTTTGACTGGATTTGTGTCATTTTTAAAAGGTAAGTAAAACATCTGGAGTCTTTCTTGGCATTTCCCTGAATATGTGTTTGCCCTTCATGGAACACAGGCTCGCATTAGATAACATATTCTGCAAAGCACTTGTACATGGCTGCAGCCAGCCAGCCTTGCTGCCTGCTTCTGCAGAGCACATTCAGGTGCTTCTTAGCTCAGAGTCACTGCTGAGCTCCTGTGCAGTCTGTGGACATCTGTGGATGAAGAGGATTGACTCCACCCTCTCCATCAGCCATCATCATCGTGCTGTGGAAGCAACAAGGAGTCTGGCAGAGCCTTGGCAAAGCCACTGCACCTGGAGGGAACCAGCCGAGAGATGATTACTCACAGAGTTTGTTTCTGTTCCCAGGCTGCCCTGGAGTTTGTCTCTGTTCCAGGCTGCTCTGCAGCTGTACAAAGTGCTGCCAGGCAGATGGGAGAGCTCTCATCCAGCTTGCTTTGGCCCCTGGGGCTCTGGGTGGACTTGGGTTGGTCTTAGAGCTCACCTGGGGAGGAGAGAGTCCCCCAGGTACTGGGAGGCAGGGGAGCTGTTCCACTGCACATTTCCAGAAGGATGATGGGGAGCAAACCCCTTAGGTTACTGTGGCACTGGGGTGGAAGAGGGCAAGGAAGCAAGCACAGCCCCTGGACTGTCAGGCCCCTGTGCTGCTGGGTGTCCCTGGTACAGCTGTGACCTCTGCCAGTTTGCCTTCTCTGAGATGGTGCTGGGGCATGGTTGAGGGCTTGAGTGCCTCAGGATCCAATCCCAGTGAGCACTGAGAACAAAGTGACACAGTACTTGACTTTTCCATGCTGAGCTGTCCCAACAGCATTGTGCTTTCATGCTGCATTCCAGAGCATGCAATGTAAAAATACCACTTCAATGGGTTTTAGTACAGCCTTCATATTTTCTCTGATATTTTGAACCAAACCCCTCCCCTCTATCCCCAGATAATCATGAGCTGGGGCATGGTGTTACCACAGGTGGCCCAGAGGACATTCAGGGCCAGATGTTGTGCACAATGGATGAGGCCTGGCCAGGTGTTGGCTCCGGGCCCAGAGAACAGCCCTTGTCCCTGATGTCTGTAACAGTAGAACTCTAGCCTGGGTCTTGTAGAGTCATTGCTTCAAGCTCTGGAAATGGGGTCAGTATCTCAGCCTGCCAGTGGCACCAGGCATGGGAGAACAGGCAGATCCTAGAGATCAGCCTGGGTGAGCATGGTAACACCTGAGCATTGTTTTAACCTTGTTACCTGAGTCTCCTGCTGATGACCCAGTATCTGTTTTATTCTCTTAGTGCCTCCTTTGCTTGCAGATGTGGTTCAGTCTTTTAGAGAACATTTTAACCTCCACAGCAAAATTTAAGCATCAGTTAGCTCAACATTGCAGCAAAACTGATTGCATCTATAAGCTGTGTGGACAGTTTTATTTTGGAATAAAAGTGCTTTATCTTGATATACCTCAAGTCAATAAAACACCCTTTGTGCTTTCCTGAAGCCAAGGAAGAGGAAAGATTTGCATATGCTGTGATATTATCACTGCAGTTGTCAACTGTTTTCTTTAATGGAAATTTAAATCAGGTTGCATAAATCAGTTTGCCTTAAAAAGCCTGGTCTCTCTTTCAACTTCAAATTCAGTTTTACTGCTGCCATCACTGTGCTCTAGGAGACTGTAAGGGGTAGTTGCATGTTAATGTAGAGAGAAGGATTTGTGGCTCAGACCTTTTACTTTACATGATCTGCTGTGGTCCCCAGGACAGCATCATTCCTGAAGGACAGTTTTTTGGAACTGTGGTTATTGTTTTTTCTTTGTCTAAGAGACATTTTTTCTAATTCTGTTTGTTAGCCTGTTTTTAAATCTTGTAGTGGAACTGTGTTGAAACCTAAAATAGGCCTTGCACAAAAAACCAAACACACAGCAAATGCTAGAACTGCTCCCAAATGCATTATATAAACTCCAAATTTCTTCAGTACACTGCAATAAAAATTGTATTAGCAAAAAATAACTGTACTCAAACATTTAATTACTTATTTTGCCTCCTACAGGTTAGGTGGTGGTCCTGATGATGCCAAGGAGATTATGCAGCACAAATTCTTTGCTGGCATTGTTTGGCAAGATGTATACGAGAAAAAGGTATTTATACAACTGTTCTCCCAAGGTGAATTGTAACTGTGGATGTATCAAATGTTTCAAATTTTGTTGCTCTCGAAAGGTACACAGAAACCCTCCACAGAAAAGGTTTGCAGGTGTTTTTAGCAACAGCTTAAAATACTGTGATCAGATTACTTCTGGATTTTTATTTTGCAGTGATAGGAGTATCTTTTAATGAGATACGTGGTTTTATGGCTCAATAAATAGGATGTAATCAAAATAGCTTCCAAATTTAGGGAGTATATAAGCTTTTAAAATGGCTTTTTCTATCAACTATTGCTGCCATTTCTTGCTGTTGACTGAAGCATCCCTTGCAAGCCCAGAGTTGCTGCTGGTTCCTGAGCATCTGAAGCCAAACTTCCTATTGGGAGTAGTAGAAGACGGGCTCTTCTTTCCCACTGCACTTTTCTTGCCTTTTCAATCTAATGTCAGCATTCAAGACAAGTCCAAAGACTGGACTTTCATCGATCCAAGCCTAATGCTATTTTTTGTGTGTGACAAAGGACTGATATGACGTGTCTTCAGTTGGTGGTATTTCTCATGGGTTTTCTTTGAGACCCGCTGGGTTTGTTGGCTTTTCAGTGGGAGCTGAAGTCAAAGAGCCCAGCCCTTCCTGTAAGAATGTGTTTCATGAGTTGTCTGTGCCTCACTGCCCCTTCTTCTCAGATAACTCTTTCACACCTCCAAGATGCCCTGCTTTGTGCTCTAAGGGTGGTGTGCCGTTGTCCTCTCACGTTCAATTCTCAGCAGTCACATTCTCATAACTCTCATGAAATGCAGCCAAATGTGCATCTGCTGATTCAAGGCTCCCATCTACTGGTGCCACATGATCTCACTGAATCCCAGCCTTGCCTGATTTCCCTCCTTCCCCCAGCAGTCCCTTGTGGTATCAGATCTCATTTGATCTCTAAATGCAATTTGGTTGTCCCTTCAGTTGGTGGGAGCAGGTAAGAAACTTGGCAGAAACTGAGTTCCCATTGGAGCATTGTCCAGTGCCTCTGTACTGCTACAGAGAGGGCTCTATTTCCTTCTCTTCTTTCACTTCCTCACAGATCTGTGTGGCTAAAAGAACTGAGAAATCATAAAACAAGTTTTTGTGCCTTGAAAGTGTGGATAAGACATTAAGACCTCAGTCCTTTCAGAGCATCCCTTGAGGGAGAGCTGCATGCAGTCATGAGGGCAGGAGAGAGTTCTGTGGAGTTTATTCAGTATAACATGAAAAGAAGATCTGAATTCTTATTTTAAACAGGAAGTTGTCCCCATTTTCACCCAGCTGACAAACTGAATTCTTGAGAGTTTGCACATTTTTTGCAGTTTAAGGTAAAAAGCTGACAGTGGGGCTCAAATATTTTGAGTAATTTGTCATTGGTAGTAGTCCCAGTTCCCTGAACAGAAGAGAAATCACACAAACTGGAGACAATGTTTTATTTATCTACAGGACTGAGAAAGCCTTCATAAATTGTTCCATAGTGGTAAGGATTCTGAAAACTTATCAGGAAATTCCAAATACTTGCATCTTTTAGAGAAAACTGTGTGCTGATTGAGACTATTCCTGATCTTGGCATATCCAAGTAGTCCAGATCCTGGCTTTGCTTGTGTCCCATTGGTGTTTGCATCTGAGGCAGGCACTCTGTGCAAATGGAAAGCCTGTGAGTAGATGCCACCTACATTCTGGTGGTCCAAAGGGGGCCTTGCAGCATTTACCTGAAGTGCAGTCCTGTGGATTAAAGCTGCATTTTGTCAGCTGCTGAGAGCTGTTTGTGTGCTAAGCCTGGTTCCCCACCATCTCCAGTAATGCTGGGTATGTGTATGAGTATGGGCTTGGGTAATCCAGAACATTTGCTTTGTAATTAAGCTTTTTGCAAACATAGCCTTGCTTTAAATTACAAGGAGCTTTGAATAACTGGGGTTGTCCCCCAGATTTAAAATGTTTATTAGGCTCACTTGGAAGAGTGCTGTCTGTCTCTGGTGCAGAGAAACGTGCAGTTTAATTTGCAGTATTTTGCCCACCCACAAGCAAAACATACTCAGAGATTTGAATCACATGGGGATTTTTTTCAGGTCTCTTTTCTCTCTTAAACCAGCATGAGCCTGTGGGTGCTATGGTCCAATGCAGGTCTGCAGCCGTGGGAGGCTACAGGTGGCACCTCCCTGCCAGTTGAACTGCAGAGCTCTTGCAGTGACAGCTTCCCAGTAAAGTGACATATTTGCTTGTTAAAGGCAGCGTTGGAGCTTTCTGCGGCTTCCCCTCTGTTTCCAGCTTAGCGCTCAGAATTTGACAGCGAGGGGGAAAAGATGTCTTGTGGGTGCATCATAATCTGTCTCAAATTGCTTTTAACAGATACTAAAATAAAAAGGAAAATGATCCAGGCAGTGCTAGCCCATTCCACATGTGTGTTGGCTTGGGATTGCTACTTTGAGTGGCTCCAGTGTGCTCAGTTCAGGTGGCTGCTGCAGTGCCCAAGCCCTAAATCACCCCGAGCTGTGCGCAGCAATGAGAGCAACTGGGGCACTGTGAGTGCCAAAACCACCATTAGCTTAAAAGGACAGATAGAGCTTCACACACACACATGCACAGCCTGTCAAAGCCAGGGCTGCTTTGGGAAGTAGGCAGAAGCTGCTGCAAGGAGAGAGAGGGAATAGAGTTATATGAGGAATCTTCCTGCTCCACGGGGCTTTTATATGTAATATGTTGGTGTGATTTGATTGAGAAGTGTTATTAACATTATAATGTAAAGCATTCCTTCTTCAATAGCTTCAGGGGACTGCAAGGCTCAGAGTAACTCCTGACTTTGGGATATCCTATTTCCTGTTCCTTTTTAAATTCATTACATAAAGACAACTTCTGAGGATCTAATATTTTTTTGTAAGGGTAATGTACCCAGCTCCTTTAAGCCGTTCTTGGGCACAGAGAATTGTGAGTAACTGGGAAAAAAAGATGCTGAATATATACTATAATTGGGCTCTCTTATAATGATCAGAGCTTTTATGCTTCTAAATTTTTAAGGATTGATTTTAAACAGTAATTGTTTCTTTGTATGTGGGAGCGTTGCCATATGTATACGTTACATTTCTTACTGTCTTCACATTGAAAATGAATGCATTTGATTGGATTGCTGTTTGTAAGACAGGACACTGTTAGGTGCTCTCAAAAGAGATCAGAAAGACCATCCTGGTGATAGGGAGCTTGAAAGTTGACAAACAAATGATTCTTCACGTCCAAGCAGGAGATAGAGTTGGAGGTGGGGAAGAGGTGTTTTGTGTGTTCCAAGATTTGCTGATGTTTTCCAAGTGGTGATTTCTGTTGGCGTCGTTCTTGTTTGTACAAATGCAGGAGTGCATGTCTGGGGTCACTGCATAATTCCAGTTGGAGCAATTTACCATCTACCTTGCTAAACCTCTCCCTGCAGTTTTGGATTGGAAGCTTGAGGCTTCCTCAGTCATGCTCCTGAATTGCTGCCCGGTGTCGCTGTGCGCTATTAAAAGGTGGCCACTCGTAACCCCGGTGGTGGGCGAGCAGGATCCCAGCCCTGTGCACATCCTGGTTCTGCCCCCATGCAGGGGAAGGTGGGCAGGGTCTGAATCCTTCTCCAGTGCCCTCCAGAGCTGTCCACGTTCCAAGTGTGTGCATCTGTATGCAGCCAGCTCCCCATCCCGCCTCCCCGGCGCGCTCCTCCTCCAGCCCCAGCCAGGCAGCTCCGCTCCATCTGGAGCTGCTCTCGCCAGAGCTTGCCTAGGTACACATGGATGATTTCCAGCCTGTCTGCCTGAGTTTCAGGAATAAACCCCAACAAGTGCAGCTCCTGGTGTAGCAAGAGGAGGATGTTCACTGCTGACTGGGCTCAGGTTTTTGTAAGCACTCCAGGTTTTTGAAGTTCAGAGTTGACATCAAACTGCTTTTGGGGACTGTGGTATTTTTGGGGTCCTCCACGGCAGGAAGGAATGATGAACCTGATTCCATGTTCTTAGAAGGCTAATTTATTATTATATTATATTATACTATACTATACTATACTATACTATACTATACTATACTATACTATACTATACTATACTAAAACTATACTAAAGAACAGAGAAAGGATACTTACAGAAGGCTTATTAACAAGATACTAGTTAAAACCCCATGACTTTCTCCGCAGTCCTGACACAGCCTGACTGTGATTGGTGATTTAAGTCAAAGCAATTCACAAGTTGGATAAACAATCTCCAACCACATTCCAAAGCAGCAAAACACAGGAGAAGCAAATGAGATAATAATGTTTTCCTTTTTCTCTGAGGCTTCTCAGCTTCCCAGGAGAAGAAGTCCTGGTGAAGGGATTTTTCCAGAAAATATGACAGTGACGGGGGACCAGGAATATTAAAGCTTAGTGTTGCTGCTGCCTTGGCCTAGGTTCTGCTGGGTTGGTCAGACCTCCAGTGTGAGCTGCATGGGCACAGTAGCACTGTAGCTGAAACTTCTTGGTGAATGTTACAACCTTTGTAGTGATACACAGGATTAGCTGATAAGTTTTATATCACTAAGCATCTTTCTTAATCATTTTCATCATCCTTAAGCATAAATCTGACTAAATGAGGTTGACAATTTCCATATAATGATGTGGGGAACTAGTATGTGTTGTTATTTTTAAACACTGGTCATCATGTTGTTACTTGAAGAAATGTTAGGATTCTAAGTTTTCTTTGTGCAGTTAAATCGTAGAGGGAAAAAATGCCTTAAATGTCCTAAATAGTAAGTGCACACCTAAGGTGGTAAGTATTTTTACTATATATGCTTCCTTTGTGAGCTGGTGTTTTTTAGACATTTTAGGAAGATAGAAAAAGGCACTGTAGCTTATAACTGTGTCAAATTCTACTTGTTTCAAACACCACTGCAAGAACCTGTAAAAATGGACACTTTTCTTTTCTTTCCTTAGCTTGTACCTCCATTCAAGCCACAGGTTACATCTGAAACAGATACAAGATACTTTGATGAAGAATTTACAGCACAGATGATAACAATCACTCCTCCTGACCAAGGTAAAGTTTTTCCAAATGTTTCCCACTGTGTTCTCCACACCACCAGAAATAATTTGCTGTGATGGCTCTCTTCTGCCCATTTAAAAAAGTGTCAGTTTAAACTTGAGGGTTTTCCATATGTATTTGACCAGGAAGTTGGTAAAATGAAAAACCTGCTTAATAAGTGTGAAATTATTTGTACTGTGGTCTTTTCCAAATTTGCACACTCCCACTGGAAATCAGTGATAAAAATGTTTGGCTCATGTCCATATCCACACACACTGTGTATATGCAAGCAGTCAGTTGAGTATGGGCTAATATCCCATCAAAATACTGTATTTTTGTGATAACTGAGCATGTTTGATGCTCTAAAATAGCAATTGCCAAAAATTCAGAACACTGAGTGTGGATTTAAGCAGTGCAGCTCCTAGCAATTTTAAATGGACATCTGAACATCTATTTTATGATATAACTTTACCATGCATTATCTTATTGTTGATTTGCTGCAAACAAAACTAAAGGTAGCAAATGTAACTACCTTTTTAATGTTTTTTACTAACTTTTAATGTTTGTTACTAACTTTTTAATGTTTTTCATTCCTCATTCAGATGACAGCATGGATTGTGTAGATAATGAGAGAAGACCTCATTTTCCTCAGTTCTCCTACTCAGCCAGTGGAACCGCTTAATGTTTTGCCATTCAGAAACAAAACAGACTGCATTTTGGGGACCTTACTTCAATGGACACTAGAGAACTTTCTATATTATCAAGTTACAAACTGTGTTTGTATTACGACTTAGATGAATTTGTAGGAAGCCTCACAGATTCTGTATTTAAAACAATTCTTGATGCGTTTTTGAGAAGGAGAACAAATCCATTCTTTAAGTATTATGTCAAGGCTTTTATGCTGAATCACCGTAGGTTTTTAAGAATATACACCAAAACTGTTTACTTTAGAAATAATTAAGGTATTCAACATATCAGCAACTCTGACCAGAAAATCCCCTTATTTTATTTATTTCATACAGTTCATTATCTAAATACAGAATCTGCACTCTGATCAATTAGATTTATATAGGAAGATATAAGACTTTAGTAGCTAGTGCAATAATATAAGCAACAAAGTGAACAAACTCTGGAGGGTTAAGGTTCAAACTCATTTTGGACAGCAGTGAAGCGTCATCCAACTCCAGAAAACCAACTATAGGAACAGCATTAATGGCCTCAGTGAGGTAAATCAAAAAGCAAAAGTTATTTTTGTTATAACATCTGCTACAAGACATTACATATCAAACTGAATCCGGTGGGATTGCCACACCGTACAGGCGAGTGTATTTCATTCTAGGCAGTGCATTTAATGATTCCGTTTGCATAGAATCTAGGAATACTTCATAGGATTGGCTTCTCAAAACCTAGAAAACGCTTGATTTACCAATCTAATATGAAAGGCAACAACACAAAATCACCCACTTCCACCACTGTACAGAAATACCACACAGGTCTAAGTGAGAATCATCCTTATGAGCGAGTCAGCCAGACACGAGTTCATTTGGCACTGAAGTAATGACTTGTTGCCGCTTTTTTTTTTTTTTTTTATGAAAAGATATATGAATATATATAAACACTTAATGAATTTTTGCATCATGCCAGATCATTTCTTCTTTCTTGAGTGTGCATTAAAGGTATCAACCAACAGTTCATGGTGCCTTCTCACTCTTGAAGATTCAGTTTAACAGTGTTTCCCATGTATAAAAAAAACTAGGTTGAAACTTCATATGTGTTTGAATAATAATGGTGTTCAAAAAGTGAACTCTTTTTTTGTTTTTCATTTTTAATCTTAGTGGGAAATTCCCCACACCCTATTTTTGTTGTATCATGTTTCTTTGTAATTTTCATAAAAGCAGTCTTATTCTGTCTCTGCTGCAAATAAAGTTATTCCATTGTAGGTTGCGTTCTTTAAATTGCGCTTTTTTTTTTGTTTTTTCATTCTCTTGACTGTATAAAAAATGATGACATGTATTCCAGTTAAGTAGCATTTAATATTTTTATTAGAAAGGAATTATATTATGAAAACCCTCTCTTCCCCTCTCCGTCAGACACTGCTGTGCTTGCACAGAGAGCCCATCATCCTGACTTTTTTTAACAACATTCAACTCTAGTATTTTTACTCATGATATGAAAGTTTCCCTCCAAATACTTAAATAAAATTGCTTTAATGAGTTAGGTTCTTATTTCTTGTGGTAGGAGCCTTCTGAATTTATAGAGATGCAACAACTGCTCCAGTTTCTCAAGTGTGATGTGCATATCACTGAGGGATTCGGGTTGTTCTGTTCCTCCTCAGTTGTTTCATCTCTGTGCTGATCATTATGCAAAGATAATTTTGGAAAACGCTTGTTCAGAGAAAAGCAACCTGTGCCAGGAATAAATTGTCTTGAGGTGAATGAGGACTGGCCTTGTTTTGCTGCCCTCCTGGTGCCAGCAAAAGGCCCTGATCTGCAAAGGTATTTCTGTTCCACCATCCAGGCCAGCCTGTGCTGCACAATTTCCAACACTCTCCAGGCACTAATGTTAATCACAGCTGGGAGGTGCTTACAGGAGGCTGGAATGTCCCTTTTCAAACAAGAATACAAAGAACAAGGTATGAACATCCAAGAACAACTGCAGTGTGCTTCAGAATAAGCAACAGGAACTGCAAGCTTGTGGTAAGCCATTAAATATCCAGCACATTTTTTGGTTCAAAGAATAAGCTGTAATTCCCAGTGCAATTTACTGTGTGTTTATGCAAGGGGGGAAGGGGAAGAAGAGATCTGTGTGTCTGTAGGACTGGTGCTGGACAGCCTGTCCCATTCAGCAAGTCTGATCTAACTGCTCTCCCTCCTTTGCTTCCAAGCCTTCATCTACATCTCCAGCCAGCCCAGGGACCAAGTCCAAGGAAACTCTTCTGCAAGTCTACAAGTCTTGACAAGTTCTGAACCAACACAGCTTCGTGCATCCAAATATAGGCAACACTACTGAGCAAAGGTTACCATTATCTGCCCCAGGAAAATCTGCTCTGTCAAATGCAGGAGCAGGCATGGATCAGGTTGTTTTGCTGAGGCTGATTATGTCTCACTGTTTTTCTGCCAGCTGTTGCTAATGGATTGTGTTAATTCCCTTATATTAAAAAAAAAAAAGCAGCTGCCAGAAATCTCTGAATCGTAATATTGTTAGCAACTGAGAGCCGTGAGGGCCACACCTGAATGCTGGACACATTCCCTCATTTTGCCAGTGATTGTTCTAAATGCCTTATTTGTCCATAATTGAATGGTTATGGCTGCTACAGCTGTATATCTGCAAACATCAAATGTGTTCTTTACACAGAAAATCCTACTGCTAAAACCTGTGACCTGTGTCATTCACCTCAGATTCTTTTTGTACCCTATATGCAGAGACTGCTTAAATCTTCCATGTTTCTTTAGCTCTGATTTGAAACCTAAAAACTTTTCTAACAATCTCTACAACCAGAACCTCCCCATTTTTCCTTCTGGCATTGAAAAATGTCATCTTGCTCTGGTGTTGCACATTTCAGCAAAGCTGGTGCATCCCAGGTTCTGAGCACCAATAGTGAATCTATGCTACAGCCCAGGAATGTTGTTGTAAATTTGAACTTGGAGAAAAACAGGGAGAAAGCCCCTTGGCAAGAGCACATGGGTAAGTTCTCTGTGTGCCTGCGACTGCAGTGTGGAACTGAGGTCAGCTGGGCAGTGGCTGAAACAGATCCACTCCTCTGAGTGCTGCTTGGGGTTGAGACATGGGCTGGAGCCAGGTAATTCTGCAAATTCCATTTTATACTCCCTGGTGTAACTAAAGCATCCAGTACAATCCCATTAGGATATGACAGGCTGTTCTCCCTTTAAAGTGGATGAAGATAACTCTGGTTCATAGCATTCCAAACTTTGCTCAAACTGTGACCTCTGCCCCCCACCCTCCCAGTACAATAAGCAGATTTTTCTTCATTTTTCTTTCTGCACCTTCACTCCTCCAGCAGGTGACCTCCACCTGCTCTCCAGCTCTCATACTTGCCTTGAATTCTAGCTGTTTTTTGAATTTGTTCACAGCTTTCCACCTGAGAAACAAATTATTATAGTTTTGGAGGTCTGGGGGCAAAACCTTGCCTGCATTGTTTGAATTGGATGGTCTTTGTTTTAACTAGTGGGAAATTTTTGTCTGCTGCTTTGGATTGTGCCCATGTGTTGAAGTGCTCAGTACACCAGCACTGTTTTCATACCCCTGAGTGTTTGTGGGGCCTTCTCAATCTTTGTCAGAGAAAATACCCTTTGCTTCTTAGAGAGCACATGCCAGAACAGATTTTTATCTCCAGTAGCTGGCTGTGGGATGGTGGTCTCAGATCAGAGGTCACAGCCCACAGTGGGAGTGCAAACTCCAAGGAGACAGAGGTGCAGAGGGGGAGCCCACACACACAGAAAGTGCCCGTGCAAGTTGTACAGATGTGCCTGAGAAGTTTGGCAAATGATGATTGAGCAGGTCCAGTTTATTTCACTGTATCTACAAGAGCTTCAGAGGTAAAAACAAAATTGAAGAAACAGGCGAATGTAAAGGATCCTGTTTCTTCAGCGTCGCAAATGAGTGTTTGTCTTCCACTTTGAGCTCAATTTTTGTAATAACAGGGAGGTTAATTGCCACGAGGAGTAACAGGCAAGGAACACACAGTGCCTGCAGTGAGCAGGGTTATTGTCCCCCTGCAGCTGAGAGTGCAGCCGTGTGCCCGCTCCCTGCTGCAGCATATGCTGCATTCTAATCAGCTGATGGCCTCTTGCTCTCTGCCCAAAATCATTTTCAACAAATGCAATTTGTTACAGTAGTTCCTGCTTGACACTTTTTAAATTTTTTGTAACTGATGGTCGCCACCCTGGTTTTGTGAGCGTGGTGGGTTCCTAAGGACCAAATCAAGGTATTCATGTGTAAAAACTCCACTTCCCTCTGTGGTTTTTCAGCCTGCACATAGCTCAGTTCTGTTTCCCGTTTGCTGAAGTGCTGCTTCACATGGGGTTTTTTTGCCTGTAACTGGGTTTTTCTGCCTCCTCCCAAAGATGGGCTTTGTGTTAAATGTTACCCTGTTTTCCACACTTTCTTAATGTGTTTAGTCAGGTTACTGTAACTGCTGTAATGCTGCATTTCACTGGGGCTTTGAATTTGTTTCCAGAAGATGAATGGCAATGCAGCATTTGCTTTATTTTCTGGATTATGAAGGTCTTTCAAATTCTCTACAAATTATTACATCCATCCTGCAGAAGATATAATTATTTTTATGCTGGAGTCAAAAGTCTTCACAGAGGACACACAAACTCTTCCCAAACACTGATCTTTAGTTATTGGTGAACTCCCTGGATCTATTCCTTTGTGCTGCTGTGTCCTTACAGTACTGATGCTGTTACCCAGGAAGTTGTGTAGTACTGAAAAAAATCAATATCAGAACAAAAAAAAATAGTGATTGTGGTCTTCAGCAGAATGCCTGAGAGTTCACAGAAATTGGATTAAAATGAACATGAAATCCATTCTTAAACATGCTGGACTCGATGGTCCTTGTGGGTCCCTTCCAGCTTGGTTTATTCTGGGATTCTGTGCCCCTACTCTGCATTAGGACTTACTGCACTTTAGAGGCTCCTTACTCTTTTTATTTTAATTTATTGGGACACAGATCTGACTGCAGAGAACAATTCCAGCACCATCTCCCACACACAGGGCTGGAGTTCATACAGCATTTGAGTGATTTTTTTTTTCCTAAATAGCTAATGAACTTTTCTCACATACTTGATAAATCGCTCCAGTGACTTTTAAAGGCTTTATAGATGTGCAGAAAGATCAGAACATTAGCCCTTCAATGAACTTCCAGAACAAAAATGGAGTGATATTGTTAGGATGGTTGCAGCACATGGTAAATTTTCCATATGATATCTTTGGCTGTTGTGATTGTTCCTTATTCTGATAAGATTGGGAGAAATGAAACTAAACAGGTAGACAGGAATACCTGGTGCCCATTCAGTAATGAGTGTAGAATGACACTGAGTAAAAAGCAGAGAGAACAAAGTCTCTTGGAGCAGCTGCAGATTGGAAAGTTGCAGAGGAAAGGAAGTGGAAGAAAGCGGAACAAAATGTACTTATTTACGCAGGTGAGGTCATAAATTTAATGTGTAACTAAGATAAAGGGATTAAACTTAGTATCTCCCTTTACCTGATTGTAAAACTTAGAATCAGGTTACCTCTCCAAAGTTTTACTTTCTGTGGTGACTTGCTCAACGTGAAGGAAGTGGGGATCAAAGGTGGCTGCTTGGCATTTAAAATGATATTTTTTAAAATTCCCGTAAGCGGCAAAGGGAGTTGCAATGAGGGTGATGCTTCCTGGACTGCCCAGTGATTTTTCAGGTAACTTTGAGAAACCTCTCACAGCTGTGCCTTGCTTGAGGTGGGAGAGGCATCCCAGCAGTGCAGGAAAGCACCGAGTTTGGCTGGAGGTCAGTGTGTGAGTGGCACAGAGCTGTCTGGGGTTCCCCTCTGCAGAACAGTTGTGTCAGCTTTCTTTTCAGATCACTGACAGTAACTTGGCCTTTATTAGCAATCTCTCCATAATCTCTCCTCACAAGAAAGGAGAAGTCACCAAGGACAGACAGGGAGAAAACCCTGGATATAAATCCATGTATTTCCCCAGGGGGTTCAGCTGCAGTTTCTCTGAGCAGCGCTGGATGGTGGAGCCCCAAGCACCCGAGGCTGCTGCACAGGAAGGCTGGAGCAGCACAAAGAAGCTTCCAACTCCCCATCTGGAAAAGCCCCCACAGGAGCACAGGCAATGGCAGTGCCATCTGTCTTCTGCTGAGCAGAGCTCCTCTCCTGGGAGCAGGAAAAGCTGGCACATGGAGGTGGGCTTTCAGTTCCCTGCTGCACCGAGGTTGGACGCAGATTGCTG